CTTGAACCTATATGGGATACGATATGCATAGTAAAGACTAACTTTATTTATTCATATTGGATTCAATTTCAAGGGATAACGGATTTGCTACAATATAGAGAGTGTACATGTCACATAAATGTACTCCTACATATTATGTTCATATGGATATTGGCGGTTATGTTTTCTTTGACATTAAATTAACAATGTAAAAAGCAGGCTTTGATCTAATTTATTCATTAATTTTACAAGATTTGGGAAAACTTTATGGGATTATTTTCAATATCATATACATGATTTACATGTACACTACTAAATTTAAAAATTACTGTTTATTGAGGATTTTTATAACTTACATTTGTATATTAACATATTGTATTAAAATATACTATGCGGCCCTTTATCGTTATCCTCGTGCCCCGGTCCAACTTCTGAAAGAAATCACCTTATTAAGAAAAAACGCCTGTAAATTTCGAAATCGATATACTGTACACATATATACGTGCATATACATGCGTATGCGCTTTCACAGACTTATAAATACGTAATCAAAACTTAACGTTAAACATGATTTCCAGCTTTACATAAACATTTACATAAACACAGGACACACACTACCTTCCGTTAGTGGATATCGATATTTTTTATCGTTATAAGGCAACGCTGAGAGGCTAGCTCACCTAAAGTAATCAATCAATGACATTCGACTTAATTTTATAAATCTAAGTCACTAAATGGCATTAATCTCCTGCCCATTAATTTTTATAATTCCGAATGTGTTAAGGAACGGATTCTGATTCTTAACATTAAATAAGTGAAAAATCTCATCTCAAAGGAAGCTTCCAATTTATAATACATGTAATTATTTTCATTATCTTAATCATTTTATTCAACGGGTTCGTTTGAAAAATGGTTTAACATTGAAGAAAAATTAATGTTATGAACTCTGCATGCTGAATGCATTATCTATGTGGGAGGATAGTGAACTTGCTCATTTAACTTTAAAATTTAGTTATCTAAGAATAGCACAGCACACAGCTTTGCCAAGCAATATTTGTAAACTTTAGTTTTTAAGTTTTTTGATACATGTACAAGTACAGCCATCGATTACACACCATCACCATCAAAAATACATGTATGTACAACACACATGCGTAAATGAATGGATGTATTTCTATCGCAATTATTTGAACAACCAGATTTGGAAAATTGAAAAGGGTTACATGAATGGACAATATATTTTGAGAAATTTCGATTTTAATTGTTGCATGATTATGTACGAGATGAAATAATCTTTATTCTAGTGACGAAAAAAGTTTTCATATGATGTATTATTATTTCATTAATCCAATGTTTAATTAAAGAGGTGCATTATAAAGATATGTAACCAAAAGAGTTGTGAGAATTATCGTAGGCGGTAGACGCGACAAGTACATTTTGCATATGCGATGCACGCTCACAACATAACATTTGTCATTATACTTTTGTGATCACAAAGAATCAAATATAATGACAATGTAAAAAAAAAAAAAGGGTTGAAGAAGTACGCATCTGCTGTTATTGATTCCCTATTATTAAAATTCGTTATAATGCAAGCAGGAAAGAAAAATAACAACAACAATAATATCCGATATGAATTATTACGGTCAATCGAACTTGACTATATCTTAATAAATGCAATCAAAAACAAAAACGACAACACCGACGAAATATTTTCCCAAATCGAGAACAATGAAATTTTGACAAACGACGAGAAAAATAAACTCAAGCAGAGATTCATTCTTCGCAAGGATATTTACAACATCGCCGTAACGAAAGATCACGTTTGTGAAAGATGTGACAGAAACAAAAATATCAGCAGCCGTAACAACACCACACAATCGTCCAAAGAGAAAAGACATGCAACAATGAACGGGTGTCAGCATTGTACGAGTGAATTTATTCGAGAACAATTTGGCACATGGACTTCTGGAAACGAAAAGATTGATCGTGAAATTCAAGAAACACAATTGAACTCTACTGTTGTTCCCTTAACTTTGGGTGATTCTCCTCGTACCATAGAATGGATTCCGTTTGAAGGTTTATTAGATGTAAAACCATTAAAGATTTCTGGAGGCGGCGTAAAGGTTTATAAAGCGGTGTGGTCGAAGGGTTTCGCTCAATCTTTTGATTTTGATAAGCGCATCATTTTACGAGTACCTCAAACACGAGTGGTGTTGAGGCATTTAGTGAAATCAGAACAAATTAATGAAGATTTTTTAAAAAAGGTAAACTTATCTATGCAATATTTAAAGTTTAGTGATTATCGACAAAATAATATGTTGATTAATTTATATGATAAATCCATGAAATGTTTAGTTAAAAGAACATTTGTTACTTCAATCTCGACGATTTGACATAGTCGACACATTGGGCATCACAAAAAACCCACAAACTGGTGACTATTTACTCGTTGAATACGAAATGAAAGAAAACCTCAAAGCATACATTCTTGAAAACTATGCCACCATAACGTGGGCTGAAATATACGACATATTCACTAACCTCTCGCGAACACTCTTTGAGATTCACCATTTGGGAATAACGCATCGTAATATACACTGGGAAAACATATTATTACGAGAATACGACAATGCATGGGTGTTTTCCGAGCCTAACAACAACAATACCCCATCAAATAGCTTATACGGAAGTTTGCCATTCATGGCCCCAGAAATTCTTAAAGAAGGAGAATACTCTGCCAAATCTGATATCTATGCGTTTGGGATGTTGATGTATATGGTGGTGACGATTGGTTCCTTTACCAATTACATGATTGATGAATTTGATTTAATATATCGCATATGTAATGGCAGGTGGCCAATAATCCCCTCCGCGACAAATGCAGCGCAAAAAGAATACCTTGAGTTAGTTGAAAGATGCTTGAAGTCGGATCCTGCGAAACGACCAGATGCACGTGAATTGTTGGAGTTTTTCTGCAGAGAAACCAAGATTCAAGAACAAAAACAGCAATTTTCGTCTTTTGAAAATTTGGTCTACACTGAAATTCCGCGAGAAACCAACAATTTTGGTGTTAGCAAGTATCATTCTGTTGATGAAATTCGTAACTATCTAAATAAAAGGCAGCAAGATGATGATGAGGGTATGCAATTGTGATTATTCTGTAAATAAAGGAATGTTTTACTTATAATCTCATCTAATTTTCAAATAAAATAGAACCCACGAAACAACTATCTCGACACCAAAAATTTCCGTCGTCTGATTTCAATTCATCCACTCTTCTTGCGGAATCGGTAAATGATACGACGACGATTGAAAGCGGCGGACTAGATGATATACAAAATTTTGAGATTTTGTTGAACGAGAAGTTTCAACTTGATAGTGAAATAGACGACACTGATGGCGTTGGTGAATCTTCGTTGTTTATGATTGGATCAGAGTTCAGGTCGTCTTTTCTTAATCAGAAGAGTAAGTAATTTGCGAATAGGTTTTTGCTTTTTTTTAACTTTGATAGTTATTAAATATTATATCGATATGCTTCACCAGGTAATAATTATATGAATAGCGATGAGTATATTACTTATAAAGAGCAACGACAACCTTCTGTCAATATGCAAGAAAAAGGTATATTATGATTAAACAATAATTTTTGTTATATTTCAATTATGATTAATCCGATTTCTTTATTCAATTAGATTACAATTACAGCAATACGCGAAATGATAAAATGGAGTCTATAACTACGTCGTCGGCGCCATGGTATCAAAAGATGCTTCGATCCTTGTTTTTTTGTATAAAGGATGAACAGTAAACGACGACGGTATATTATTTCCTGTATTATTTAATGTATTCATTAGAGATTATAATTTTGTAGAATATAATTTAGAAATATTTTGTTTTAGAATGCAATCTTTTTAGGATTGTATTTAATACTATATATATATATATATATATATATATTGATATTATTAGTATATACATGTATTATTCTTTTCTATTGTTGTTATTACAAATAAAAACCACTTTGGGGAAAAAATACACGTAACATAATTTTTTCGAGGGAAGCCTAGCCTCAGACTTCAGATGATCCATTCATTTGTTCTTTCGCATATATTAGCACATTCCAACTTTATATTGCATCACTCTTTACTTCAGCAATAATTCGTAATTATAAGGGTTATTAAAGTTTTTCGAATTTTTTATATTCTTCGAATGCATGTATAAAGAATTTCGAAATTTATTTCGTAACGGCAATTGATCCTGACAGCGGTTATCAATCATAATAAAATACCCAAATTAACTATCGCTATCATTATTTTGTAAATTCTTTTTGTTTCTGTGCATCACAAAACTTGTCTTTCATGCTGAGAACGATGAATTGTTCCTCAACTGGATTGAGATCTGAGCAGGCCAGAAAAGGACTTGCACCTTTTGATAAAGAGATATAGCCTGTTTCCCTGAAACCAATAATTAAATGCGTGGTTTTTTTGCGTATTTCATAACGATAATGGAAAAATATTTGATGAATCAATCACAGAACGATGCAAAAGCATTCCAGTGAAATTAAACTTATTAACAAGTATCAAAATTCAAACAGATACCAACGTTAATTTATTTGAAAGGCAATCAATAATTGATGCTTTTACTTATCTAAGAGATTAATTTGAAGTTTTTAAAACAGATGGCCTTTTTAATATCTACGGTGGCTCACTTGTGAAGACGACACGAAAAGTTTACTAGCGCTTCCAATATCGATTAAGTGTTTATGGTTTCAATATTCATTTATTCAAAAATTGTGAAAGTTATAAATATATTACATGTATTTAATATCACAAACAAAGCTTATAATATAAAACAAATAATAAAATTTTACAGAATTGATATTTTATTTTATATTTTTTTATTATAATTTTATTCAATAAAAAAAATAAACTCAATAAGTAATATATATTTTTAAACTATATTAATAAAATTTACTAGTAAAACTATTAAAAACTAAAAAGCTATATTAATTAAATAGTTAAGTTGAAATTAATTAAATAATAGTCAAACTAGTACTTATAAAATTATAAAATTTATAAAAGCAAAATATCTTGATTATAGAATAAATATTATATAACTAATTTTATTATAAATATCTATTGCCTATCTTAAAGTTATTATAATTTTAATTTAATATTTATTATATTATATTATTATTAAAATTAATTACTTGAATAGAAAAAAAGTTATAAAAGATAGAATATAAAAGTTATAAATAAAAATAAATCAAGAAAATAAGAAATATTTATACTTTATTATTATTATAATAGAAGATAAATCTAAGATATTTATATAAATATTAAGAAAATATTAAAGAATAATAAAATAAAAAATAAAGAAAAAAAAATAAAAGAAGAAAAATAAAAGAAAATTAATAATATTAGAATATAGAATTAAATTAAATAATAAGTAATAATTATATTTTATAACTCTTCAGTTTATAAATAAATAAATTAATTATAATATTATATAGTAACTTTTATAATTATAAAATTAGAAAATTAATTTTATTAATAAATTATAGTAAAAATTAAAATTATTTCTTTATATTAAAGTTTATAATTTTATTAAGAAATAATTTTAATAGATATAATCTTCTAATTTTATGTTATAAGAATTATTATAATTTTTATTATTATTATTATTATAAAAGACTTATATATAAGAAAGTAAAAAGCAATAATATTTATATAATAAATTATTATTATTTAAATAATAATTTATTTTTTAATTATATTATTCAAAACTAGAAATTAAGATAGAAATTTATAAAGTTATATAAATTAAAATAATTTATAAAATTACATAAAATCTATATAATTTGTAAAATTAAGAAAAATTAAAGAAATTAAGAAATTAAATATTATTTTATAATAATACTTAATAAATTTTTCTATAAAAATTTTCTTTAAATTTTTATATATATTTTACAATATTATTATATAGTAGCCATTAAAAATAATATAATATTTAAATTTTTTACTAATTTTA